GTCAGCAAACAGAATTCCTTTTAGTACATATGCAAATGATTTTAAAAAAAAGTAGAAAAAAACTGTTTTCTGCTAAGGAAATACAATTATTGTGAACTAGTCCTCAGGGTTGGTGAGCCCCCCCAAGTAATGACGGAAGCATTTTTCTTATAAATCCTATGAAGTTAAATATTCGTAATAATTGATTAGTAGTCGATGGATCCTGCAACATTGGTATACGGTATTTTGATTCGAGCAATTAAATAAAATAATTAAAAATGTGGTAACTATTATATTGTTTCTTTTTATTATTATTAATAGCAATATCGAAAACAATAGTCGTGACTATCATAATTGATAAATTATCCTAGGCTATGTTTTATATTTTAGTGATGACTGCATAGTTTCTCGGACTGCCAACACTTACGCTTTCATCATATTAAGCTGAAAGTAATTAACAAAATATTCTTCCACTTTTAAAACCACATTAACTGTAGAGTTTATACAGTTCGATTAAACGACACACCATGAAAATTACGAGTGATCAATAAAAATGACTCATTTGGATTCATTGTGTGTTTTTTTTTTTAAATTATTAAATACTAGTAAATTCTTTATTATAATATTGGTATCACTTTTAAAAAATTTGAAGGAGCTCAAAAATACTTTCAATTTGAAATTTAAACAAAAAATATACAGACACTCATTTTAACGCGTTGACTGCCGCGTCACCCATATTCGCGTGACAGCAAAGTTTCTGATCAGGCCGTGTCACCGATATTCGGTTGACGCTTATTTGACTATTTGCGAAGGATATTCGAACATATTTGAAAAGATATTTCACAGGAAGTAACAAAACTATTGAATTGTTACAAAAGCAATGCAAAAATGATTTATTAAGAAAATTATTATGAGCCACGTAAAAGCTTTCTTGTTCACTGCTTTTTGATCCACTAAGAAATAAGTTTGCCATTTTTCTTTTCGAAATTTCAATGAATTAGGATGAAGATCCTCTTTACTCAGCAAAAATTCAAACTGATTGTGTAAAGTGGCAAAATGAGAAACAAATATGATACAATGGAACCAAATAGATATTATTCTTTCGATCGCCTCGCATTATTAAAGTATAAGTGGTAGGAATACGCTTCTCACCGTCACCATAGTCATCGCCACGGGTCCAGCCGAATGGCTAAGGGAGTTCTTACTTTAGACAAACTGTAGGTAAGTATTTTGTTCATGTCACACTAAAGCTGCACAATGGGCTATTGGTGACGGTCTGGGAAACATCCCTGAGGATGATCCGAATACAGGAATTTTGATTCTCCGTAGAAGGGATGGCTGCCCTGCTTTGGTAGCCCGACGACCTGCGCGCGAAGTCAAGCACTTTGTGGTAGAACAGTTTAACAAAGACAGATACCGCGCACCATTGGTCTCTACGCGGGCTGATCAAAAAGGTCACCCACCCGCTTACTGACCGCAACTAGTAATGCTTGATTTCGGTGTTCTACTGGGAACCGTGTCTTTACGATCAGTCCACTCTGGAGTAAGCGCCCCATAAAAAGTCCTTCAATAGTATTTACATTTTGCGTGATCTGCACTCTATAAACAAATTTTTTTTTTACTTTTCAGTTATCTAAGCGTAAGAAATTCAATACTTACTTTTTAATTTTCTTTCATTATGCTTGATTGTTTTAAAATTTTATTTAATTTTTATGTGTTCGAACTAAATAAAATGAAAACACATTTAAAAAAAAGTTGGCGAAGATCTAAATTTTTTGACGACTTTTCGCTGGCTCCCGGCTAACCGAAAAGTGCCAGATTTCTTATTAATGTATACATGTGTAACGTAATGGCGGTTCTTAATGTATATTTTTTGTCATCTTTGTCAAAAATAAAGTCAAAAAAGTCTACAGTCATCAGAGATTTCATGAAGTAATTTTCATAAATTTAATAAGTTTCATAAGTTTTGCAAATTTATCTGGAATTTCATAGGAAAAAACAAAAACTTTATAAAAATTTGGAGAATCGCTAGTAAGGAAGTCGGTAGGAAAACATCAAAACCAGTTAGATTGTTTGATGAAACTTTGGTCTGTTATTAACCTTTCAGCTCCTGTCTGTGTACTCCTGCAATCAAACAGGTTTTAATGATTTCAATCCAACTTCTTCACTATTCATACATAAATTTTCAAAATTTGCGACTATACAAATGAATTCATTTGCTACTCTTAATATGTCTGCTTATTTACTTCATTTTTTTGACTTTAAAAATGTATTTGAGAGAAATACCTAATAGTTAGAGACGTCAAACAGTAGGCAATCAATGTTTAATTCCGTAATTTTGAACCCAACTCATAAGACATCCAGCCTCGGTACAAATTCAATTTTCAAAGTGAAACTAATTTGCATTAAACGAAGAGAAAATTACGAAAAACACCCAGAGTCATCCCGTTTCTCTAATCACGGTTCATTTACCCTTAAAAGAGACTTTTACTTTACGAAAAATTATATTGTGTTTAACACGTTTACAGTGAAATCTCCTTCAGGTCCAGACTATATCACATTTATATTATATCATATCATATTTATATCATATAACTATTTCAAGTAGGAGTGTGGGGTCATTGTTTAGAACAGGTTTCGGCTTCGGTCTACTGTGTTTAGCCCTAGAGCAGTGTTTCCCAACGTGGGGCCCACGCCCCAGGGGGGGGGGGGGGNGCAATTTGATTGTTAAGGGGGGCAATTCGAAAATGGACTCGACACGAGTTTAACCCTTTTGCTCCGGGCCATTTAAATGCAATGCTTTCTGTACTAAAATTGAAAGAAAAAAGGAAATTCTTAAATATTTTGCGGCCAATAAATATTATAAATTCGTTTGACGAGATCAAAAGATCAACTGGGTTTCTGGCGTCAAGTTAACCTCCGTGCGGCAGTCGGAAGGCTCCGCGTGGACGCCTTAAAATCTCGCTTCGGAGGAATATTTAAAATTTGGGTTCATACCTGCTGTCACGAGGTAATCTTGAGGCGCATTTGAAATCGAAACATAATGCTCATATTAATTCAGATTTGAATTACTTTCAAACTTTAAAGAAACATTTTGAAAAGAGGACAACAGTAAAGTGTCTATTTACTGCTCACGCTTCAATTCCTAATCGTATTCTTGAGGCTAGTTATCAAACTTCTTTATTCACTGCTAAATCTGGAGAAAAAAAATCATACTATAGAAGAGAATTTAATAAAATCGTCAATATCAGCATTTCTTAAAACGGTTCTTGAAAAAGATGACAAAGATGTAAAAGCTATGCCACTCAGTAACAATACTGTTAGCAGAAGAACGAACGAAATGAGTGAAGATATTGAAAAACAACTTGTTGAAAAGCTGAAAACAAGAAAATTCTCAGTGAAAATGTTTGAATCAACTTTAATAGCCAGTGTGGCAATATTGATAACTTACGTTATATTGGTAAAGGGCATTTTGCTGAAGAAATTTGTTCTGTCAAAGATTAGAAAGCACTATTACCTCCAAAGATATAAATAATAAGCTAAAAAGCTTCTTAGATGTCAATAATATACCAATGAAAAATATAGCATCTTGTGCTGCAGATGGTGTTCCTAATATGATGTGCACGAAAAATGGCTGCTTAAAATTGATGAAAGATGAGAATCCAGAAATGATTCTTGTGCATTGTGTTATTCATAGGGAAAACTTGGTAACTAAAAACATCTCGCCTGTTCTAAGTGAAGTACTTACATTCAGTAATAAAGTGTATCAATGCTATTAAAGCAAATGCCAAATGTGAACGTCTCTTCCAGCTATTTTGTGAAGAACAAAATGCCAACCATGTTAGACTTTTACTTCACACTGAAGTAAGATGGCTCTCTAAAGTGAACTGCTTGAAAAGATTTATGGAACTGTTTGATACTCTTAGTGATTTTTTAAGCAACGAATCTGAAATGAAGTATCTGTTAACAGTCGATGGTAAAGCATTTAGTTATTTAGCCGATATCTTTGAAAAACTAAATATATTAAAAAAGCAACTTCAAGGAGCAAATAAAACTCCTGTTGATGCAAAAGCTAATATATTTGGTTTCTTTACCCTTATAGAGTTATGTCTGAAATATGTTAACAGCAAAAACTTTGAACAGTTTCATTGGCTCCAAAAATGTGAAGTAAATAATACCGCTTTACTTGTTATTGTCGATCATCTGAAAATTCTATCGGCTGTTTTAAAAGAAAGATTTTCTGATTTGAAACAAATTGATTTTCCAACATGGATGATGCAGCCAATGTTAGTGGATTTGTCTGATATATCAAATATGCAGTATGAAGAAGAACTAGCAGAAATGCAGAATGATAAGTCAGTTAAAAGTTTACTTAATATAAAAGGAGTGATGGCATGGCTTTGTGAAAAAACAGAAATCCAATACCCAAATTCAACCAAATGTGCAAGAAAACTATTGTTACCGTTTCCATCTTCATATTTAGCTGAATGTGAATTTAGTGCTGTAAATGATTGACTGGTAAAAAAAAAAGAAATTGTCTGGATATAACACAACGGTGAGACTTGAGACTGAAGCTAACCAAATTAAAACCTAACATAAAATCTCTGTGCAGCAAGCATCAAGCGAAATGATCTCACTAAATCAAAATATTAAATTATTATAGAAATTTTTTTATTAAAATTATTCGAGTTTGAATCTTAGTTTTTTATTATATGTTATGAAAATTTACTTACTGTGTTTCGTTAACAATTTCATAGTCATTTCTTACTAAAACCTATCACTTAAGTTTCTCAAGTGAACGATTCAATTTTTTTAATATTAAAAATTATGTATTTACCATAGGGGGCGTAAGAATTTTAGAAAGGCTTAGGTGGGCCATGACAAAGAAAAGGTTGGGAAACACTGCCCTAGAGTGAAGAGAAGCTACCCTCCCTGAATTCTGCTATTCTTGTTTCGATAGCAGCAGACGGGGGGGAGTTCTTACCATAGACAAACTATACCTACTTTTGGTCTCTTTTTAGTTCTCACGGCTGTCACCTCCACAGGGGTATCATACGTTTTTTCTCCACTTGTGATCGCACTATGCAAAAAGAAGAGTACTCGACTTCTTGCCATGTTTGGCGGAATTCTGACGTCTCTTGGCTGCCTCTTCACGTCTTTCGCCACCCAACTCCACCAAGTGTACTTCAGTTATGGACTCATGATCGGGGCAGGTGACTGTCTGACCCGAGAGACATCCTCCATCATTCTGGGAGAGTACTTTAAAAGGAAGAGACATCAGATACAAATGCTCTACCACATGGGATATGGAATAGGTGTTGCTACCATGCCTCTACTTTTCTCTCACTGCCTCAGGTGATTCCTTAAACAATGTTTCTTTTTTATCAACTTTAAAACTGAAAATGTGAAACCAATGTTTCCAAAACAAACTATATATATTTATTAGGGGGACCGGAGAGTAATGTCATTTCGCTCCATTGGACATTTGTTGTCAGGATTTTATTTTTAATCAATTCATCCTCGTTAGCAACAACCTTTCAATGCCGGATCTAAAAAGAATCGAAATGGATCGAAAAAAATGGAATCGGTTTTTAAGACTAACAAATATTTAATGCACCGAAACGACATTACTTTCCGGTCCCCCTAATGTTAGAAAATATCAAGCACGGTGGTTAATACAAATTTATTAAAATACACCTTATTTTTTTGCATTTGCCACGACTTTTTAAATTTTTTAAGGACCGTACAGAGAATGCATTTCTTATTTAAAAATATAGTTTCTTTTATTGCATTATTCCAAAAATATGATATCGAGAAAATGCATTAAGTTATCCGTGTAACACGTATCTCATAAACGATATCGTAAAAACGCAGCTTCGAGCATTGTATAATATCGAAGCAGAATAGTGTACACTATAAAATGGACCCCTATTATAATCGATTTTACAATATCGCATAAAGATATTGTTCGATAGTGTGAAAAAACGTTGTGGAATGTCAGTCGATATCTCTCAGCATTTACAAATGTTATAAAATGTCGACCGACAAAGTCAACACGATTTTCAGAAAACGAATGCTGTGGAATGCTTGCAATCACCAAAATTACGTTTATTTGTAAAAATAAAAATTAGTATTTGAAAATATTCTTATCGTCTATTATATTCTTATGTTCTATATCTTTTTGTCTTTTAAATGATTAATTTTAACTTAAAAAAATTAATAAAGTTAATGTCTATAGGAATTAAGACACATAATAAGAACTAAAATTGCATGGGAACCGCGAGTAGTGCTTCCGTATTGTTTCTTCGTGTGCTGAACAGGTCATAAGCATTTCTAGCCGGATATGATGACATTTTCGAGCATGGATTACTACTATGCAATTTTAACTCCTCTAGAAGTTTGCAGCGACTACCTGCTTCTTACAACTTTTTTTTAAACTTGTACCTTTCGACAAAAAACTCGACTAAAAATTTAATTTTAAAAAAGCTTTAGGAGCAAAGCTAAATTCAGATTTATATATATATATATATATCTAATATAAGGGCAACAACCCCTATATTTTGGTGGATTTATTTGTCAAGAAAGCAGGAATAATGAGAACATCTTGTGCACAAGATTTTATTTACTAAATAGATCGTGAAGCCGAAGTCACATCCCCGCTCTCCCGGCTGGAGAGGGGGGACAAAGTTCCAGTCAGATCCGACGGAGTTTAGTTTGTAAACATTATACACCAAAAAGTCACGCAAAAACATTGCTCCTGCATTTTATAGGATGATTTTTAGTTGTAAAGAGGCCCAGTCATATGCCTTTTTCTGTATTCTTACGCCTCATCAATTTATTTATTACTCATAGCAAATCGTTTAATCTTTCCTTATATGGAAGTGAAAGA